CATACAGTGTGTTAAAATTTTTAAATAAGATCGGTTTTTTATGAATATCTCAAATGTCCTTCTTCCAATTTTCTTTAAATTTGGCAATGATATTCTTTGTCATGAGGGGCTGATATAGCCATAATTCAATTGGAATTATAAGATCCAGTGGCGTCCCGGGAGACAACCTATCGAATATTATTGTCAATAAAATGTGCGCCACTGATTTTTTTGAATTCTGAATCTTCATAACCTATTGACCAACTAAAAATACAACATTTTGGTCTCCCAAATTATTTTGATAATTTGCTTCATTTCCATGAAAAAAAATAATTACCAATTTATTACATAAATTTGTGCCAAGAAATTCCTTCAAAAACTGAGGTGAAAATAAATGCAGCATCAATGTCCATTAGATAGAGAATTAGTATGAAGATTCATTTTCTTCAAATATTCCTTGATACATGTTTGACACACTCTACACTCTGTATATTGAGAACTATGTATTCCGGTCCAGGAAGGCGTAGTTTTCGATAATACAAAGTGTGTCAAACATGTATTATAAAATATTTGAAGAAAATGAATCTCAATTCTTATTCTACGTCTATGGACATGGATATTACATTTAATTCCACCCCTGTTTGTGAAGCAATGTTTTGCACAAATTTATACAATGAATTGGTATTTATTTTTTTCCACGGAAACGCAGCAAAATTGCAAAACAATTCAAGAGACTTGAATGTTGTATTTTTAGTTAATCATTAGGATATGGAGATATAGAATTTAAAAAAATCAGGGGCGCACATTTTATTGACAAAAATATTTGGTAGGGTGCCCCCGGGACGCCACTGGATTTCACAATTTTATAAATCAGCCCCTCATGACAAAGAATATCATAACCATGTTTCAAGAGAATTGGTCAAAGAATATTCGAGATATTCATGAAAAAACGATTTTTTCTACAAAAGTTTAACACACTGTATCTTGAAAACTATGCATTTCCGGACACAAGTATATATGAAATAAATTTCATGTTTTCTCATGCAAAATCACCCCCTTGATTTTTTGGGCATAATTTCCGGACACCCCCCTGTATACCATGTAGGATTATCTCCACATCTGTAGTGAAGTGAGGGATTTGGGAATTATTTTCGATTCAAAAATGACTTTCAATCAACATATTTCTTACATTTCTAAGAAAGCGAACAGGATGCTAGGTTTTATTTTAAGAACAACTTATCATTTCAAGGAAGCCAGAGCAGTCGTGAGTAGATTGTCAAGGGGTCAAGCACCCATAAGCAACGCGCACGGTAAAGACTATAGAAATCTATATGAAGAGTTGGAAAGCGACCCCATCATGGGAATGCCAACGGATGGCATAATTCCAAAATATAGCTTTGAAAAAACTTTTTTCTACAAGCGTGCGTGATTCACCCTATACCCGCACGCAAATTAGTTTGGGAAGTGTCATTTTCCCGCAACAGTACGGGAAAGTTTTCCCACACTTGAAAAAACAAAGATATGATATGATCGATAGTAATATGTGGTTGGTGATGGAATATAAAAGTTTAAGATTGTTTGTTGCAGTATTAAGTATGTATGTTCAGAATCATCCATCAAATTGCACTATTTATTGTAAAAATTAAGAAATATTGAGAAATAAAAATGGATTATTATGAAAATCCCCCTATAGATTTGGATTGATCTGACGGGAAACGTCAATTTGTCATGCCAATCAAACCTCATAAGTTCGAAATTGTCGAAGTGACAGACACAGCGTTACTGTCATTTTCGATTCAGTGGAAATGCCACAATGTGATCAAAAACTTCTAGCTATAGGGATTTGATACAGATGCGTTAATATCAACAACGAAGTCTTAAGAAAGGTATGAGAAGCTATACACGCGTTTAATTGAATGGTGCAACAATAAAGAAATGAAAAAACCGAAAGAAGAATAGGTATTTTTGGCTCATTCCATAGAAGTGTCTGGAACCTAGAGATCAAACTCCTAATGGGCCTGCTGGCTTCCGCAATGAACCAACATAATGCGTCAAACTGTAAGTTCACAATAGCTATTACTAATAATTAATAGATAGAGAATATATATCTCTCGTTAGTTGTTCCTATTTGCTTGAATAATTAATTGAACGATACAATCAATTTCCTACGCTTGTAGAAAAAATATTGTTCCTAACTCATGCGGAAAGTGTCTTTCCCGCACTCGACTGCTTGCCCGAACTCCGCTTCGCGTCGTTCGTGTCAACGGCAGTCACGTGCGGGAAAGAATCACTTTCCGCACTTGTTAGGAAAATTACTATTAAAATAAGTATAACGGACAGAGAGGCATGGAAGGAAGGACCTCCTATCAATGCAGACATTGCTGTCTATACGGACGGCTCCAAAACTGAGTTTGGATCAGGAGCTGGTATTTATGGGGCCAAGCCAAAGACAAGAATCTCACTGAGCTTAGGTAAATACGCGACGGTGTTTCAGGCAGAAATTATTGCAATACATCATTGCGTGAAAGAATTGATAAGGCAAGAGTTTAAAGGCAAAACCATTGCAATCTATTCAGATAGCCAGGCGGCAATCAAAGCAGTCAACTCTATGCAAGTTAACTCAAAACTAGTATGGGACTGCTTAGAAACCCTAAATGCACTGGGCAGTCAGAACAGACTGACTCTAGCATGGGTACCAGCACATACAGGGTACGAGGGCAATGAAGAGGCAGACTCACTTGCCCGAGCAGGAGCAAACAAAGCTCTGAATGGCCCAGAACCCTTCTGTGGTATTGCGAAATAAGCTATACAAAAGACTAGTATCAAATCATGGATGCAAACCAAATCTCAAGAATGGTGGAACAAATCGCCAGGAATGAGACAGGCAAAAGAGTTTATTAAAAAACCATCGCCAACATTCACAGAATATCTACTAAGCCAGAAACGAAGTTCAACTAGAATACTAGTGGGACTTCTCACAGGGCATTGTAGGCTCAACAAACACATGAGTACGATAGGTCTGACTGAAGAACTGCTGTGCAGGTTCTGTCAGGAAGAGGAGGAAACAGCAGTACACATACTTTGCCACTGTGAGGGCTTGTCAAGACTAAGGTTCCTTACGCTGGGTGAGGAAAAACCAGAAGCCCAGAGATACACAGGGGATCTGAAAGCTAGCCTATGGAGTCTCATAGAGAAGACGGGGCTAGCCGAAGAACTCTAATCGATTTTGAGGGTAGACACAATAGATCTGAAAAGGTCGCGGTGTGGAGGCAGATAGCCCGAAGGCCCCATTCTAAATCTAATCTAATCTATCATTTCAAGGATTATAATACCTTGCGTACTTTTTTCATGTCATACGAAAAATTTTGGAATCCCTACTATATAATAAACACGGAACAAATGGAAAGAATTCAGAACAAATTCATTGCTTACATCAAGAAAACATATTTCAAAAGCACGCCACAAAATCACTTCGTAATTCGAAAATTTAATGTTATTAGTCTTTTTGACAGAAGAGCGATACTCGAATTTCTTTTTTCATTTCTCATCTATAAATAACTTGATCCATTACAATATGTTCCACAATATTCCGCTCGCTATTATAACTTGTTCCAAACATCCATACCAAACACAAATTGATATCTCAACTCCCCTTACATCGATGCCTGAGAAGTTAGTCCATATCAAATATAATAGAGATTAATATTTTTTCCGACTCTTCAACAATCTCTGTGAACAAACTCATGATCACTTTGTTCCAGCGTCTAATTGATGATATGTTGAAAAAAAATATTTTTTATGTGTATAAAATCTTTACACTGTATAATGAAATTGAATACCTAACAACATGACATATTTAGTACATAATATACCTATATATGTAAATAAACTTTTCAAATAACGGCCTACACCCTATAGGAATAACCCTTGCTCAAGAAATTCATCAGATATATTAAGTTCTTTGTTTACGAGATCTATGGTTTCCGTATCGAGAATAGGGTACGTAGCGCGCTGCCCAATTCTCACCATGCCCACCTTCATGTCGACGATTACGAAGATTGCCAAAGAGCGCAGCGTTGCCAGGTTATGAGAAAAATTCAGAAAACACAAGATTTCCACCATGTCCAATTTTCATACATCCCCACGATGCCCAATCCCTACGATGCCCACCTTCCTTGCATTCCCACCATACCCACTTTTCATATATTCCCACGATGCAGAATTCCCACCATGCCCACTTTTCAAACATTCCCTCATCGATGCCCAATTCCCACCATGCCCATCTTCATCATGGTGGCATTCCAAAGAAGGTGGGCATGGTGGGAATTGGGCATCGTGGGAATATATGAAAAGTTGGCATGGTGAGAATCCAAGATAGGTGGGCATGGTGGAAATCCAAAGAAGGTGAGCATGGTGAGAATTGGGCATCGTAGGAATTGGGCATCGTGGGAATCTATGAAAAATGGGCATGGTGGAAATATTGTATTTTCTGAATTTTTCTCTTGACCTGGCAACGTTGCGCTCTTCGGCAATATTCGTATTTTCTTATTCGTCGACATGAAGGTGGGCATCGTAGGAATTGGGCATCGTGGGAATTAGGCATCGCGGGATGCTCCCTTGAAAATATGCTCAGCTCATATTGATATTATGTAATATGTACTACTACTCACCAGTAAGGTTGGGAACTCATCGAAAGGCTCGAATTTCAAGTGATCTGCCACAAATTTTGAACAATTTTGCCAAGTCTCCAATTCAGGATAAGGAAGAGTAGTAGGCCGAATTGTGGTACACACCATTTTCTGCAAAAACAGTAGTAAGTATAAGATCTATCGGCCATTCTGTACAGCGTGGACATAAAACTGGAGAGTTCCGAACTTATTTTATGAAAATTCATCTGAAGGAAACTTTCCCATTCTTGGCTCTTGGACTATAAAGGAATTCTAAGTTGTATGATCGAAGGCCTCACCTGTATGCCGCATTCGTTTTCACAGGCTAAAACTAGAGGGTTCCTGTTTGGATACTTGTCGCAAAACTGCTGCCTGAAATTTTCCGCATACAGAAGAATAGCCTTCTCTTTCTCGTTGTTTTTCAAATATTTTATCGGAAAATTTGACCGATCTTCGAATATGTGCTGAATCACTTCGGGCCAACATAGTTTTATGAGCCCCAATTCGTAACCTATCTGTTTCAAATGGTCGAACGTAAGTGCAACTGCTTCGGGTAGATCTCTCGGTGCGTCTAGGATTTCGATGTATGATATCTTCTCTTCCTGTTCCTTTTCACCTTCCTCATCGATGATGGGATTACCATCCTCATCTACTTTATCGAAAACCTCATCAGCGTTGTCGAAATGTTCAAACTCTTCCGCTTCATTAATAACGGCACTCATATTTTCGATTTGGTTTTGACACTTGAGTAGTAGCAGATTACTTTCGAAAACATATACCTTTCACAGATTGATGCTGTTCATGTTGACACTGTTGACACTAGATGACAGAATAAGTAGGTTTAAGTATACAGTGTGTCCCACTTACCATGCTCACCATGGGTATCTAACGGTGAGAGATACGAAGTCGGTTAAATGACACCAAATGTGGAGTTTTTCAAGGCCAACTATAATGTGAAAAAATATTTTGATAAAATCTATTCGTTTTTTATATACGCAAAAAACAGATTTTGATCATTTTCATGTCTCCTCCGTAACTTCTCTATTTATGGAAATATTCAAATGGGAATTTCACATTCTCATGGCAGTTTTTCAAAGTGATTTCGAAAAATATATGAAACTCATACCAACTCTTCTAGAATTTGAGATATCAGCACCAACTTTAGTTTTTCAAATGTAGGTCATAGCTCACTATGAGTTAGTTACAAAAAAAATTTTTTTTCTCTTACAGATGATATGTCGCAGTAATAGTTTTGTGTTGATAACAACGGAGTTATCGTCATTTATACAAAAACAAGAAATTATTTGGAAGCCGCCATCTTGAATTTACAAATATCAACAAAAAATTATGATCTCCGACCTCAAAAACCCCCATTTACCAATTTTGAATGGAATCGGACCAAATCTTGTCCGCCATTTTGGAGCAGCCATTTTTTTCGATTTCAACAAAAAGTTGGTGCTGATATCTCAAATTCTAGAAGAGTTGATATGAATTTCATATTTTTCTCGAAATCACTTTGAAAAACTGCCATAAGAATGTGAAATTGCTATTAGAATATTTTCATAAATAAAGAAGTTACTGAGGAGACATGAAAATGATCAAAATCTGTTTTTTGCGTATAAAACAAAAACGAATAGATTTTATCGAAATATTTTTTCACATAATAGTTGGCCTTGACAAACTCCACATTTGGTGTCATTTAACCGACCTCGTATCTCTCACCGTTAAGAAGATACCCATGGTGAGCATGGTAAGGTAAGTGGGACACACTGTATATAGGGTGAAATATAGTTATTTGTTTTACTAGGCAGTCAATCTACTTCTTTCTTCAAATGTTATAAAACCAATTTTGTGTGATTTTTTATTGAAAACTCCATCATGCTCAGAGTACTCTGATGCAATTGACATCATAGTCTATACCTCTGAAATGCTCTGAATTTTTTCAATGACCACATTTAGGATTTCAGGTCAAAAGACTGTTACTGAAGACTGAAAATACGACCTAGTAGTGAAAAAACTAATATTCATATAAACCACCACCTCGATGCTAATAAACTTTGGAATGGAAAAAGATCTTCAACTACCTTTTGGCATATAATTACTGTACAGTGTGTCCAATTTTCGATGCTTTTGCATGATATCTTAGTTATCTTTGGAGATAGAACCTTGCGGTTTTCGCGGTCCTGTGCCACTATTTTGTGAAACTCAAGATGGCCTAATCAGATTTTGCAAGACTGTTTCCGTTAATGAGATACAGGGCGATTTTGAAAATTTATACTTTTTGGACCCCCTCTATATCCACGAAGTTTCTCAACAAACATGTGAAATCAAAATCTTATCGCATAGAGAATTTCACGCATAATCCAGTGGCGCACTTGAATTTTTTTCTCGGGGTATGGTTTTGGAGATACGACTCAAACTTATGATTTTTTAAATGGAACACCCTGTATTTCATAAGCTCATTGAATTCCTAATTTTTTTGTCTTCAAAATGATATATAAAGAATGAATATAAAATTTTCAAAATTGCTCAAAATCACTAAAATATTGAATTTTGATAGTTGGTTATAGATTTTTCTTATAAAAAACGTTCCAATGGGGAAGACCACTGATTTTTTAAAACAACATTATCGTGAACTCTATACTGAAAAACTACCAGTGAATTAATTTTGAATTTTTTCATTCATGCTAAGACGATGAAAAAAATAAATTAGTATCCCAGATAGCACAAAGACATCTTTAAGACATCCTAAAGACATCGTTCTCAGACGTTCACAACGTCTTTAAGACGTCTATGGACGCCTTAGAGACGTCTGAAAGACGTCCTCTAGAGGCCGGATGTTAAAAATCACGACGTCTTTAAGATATCTTTATAATGTCTCTTCTGAGTCTTATAAAGGCATAGAAAAGACATGAGAAAGACCTCATTTCTGAATGGATTTCAAGGTTCCTCTGGGGATTAATTAAAGTGGAATTTGAAGTATTTGGATGTTGAAAGTATTATTCAATAACTGTTCTCATTCCCATGTTTTTCAAGTCGAAGTGCCAGTTATGAAGCAAACATGTAGGTACATACAACACAAATAAATAGTTGATCTTTGTGACATTTATTTGAGAAGTACAACTACCAAGGACAGGTTTGACATTTCCAGAAAAGAAGTTGCTCGTCCAACCTGTTTGTGATAGGAAAATTGAGAATATTCATTATGTTTCATATAACTGATGGTCTCTTCTTTTTTTTCTTAAAACAGGGCATCTCATCTACAGGAATACTGATCGTATTAGTCCCTCTGTTGATTGCTTTTTGTGTCAACCAAGCATATTTATATCTCTGGAAGATCCCACATTCTTCCTGAAAACAATGAGATAGAGTTGAGTTTCAGGAGTTTACCAATATCATTATTAGGGAGAGTTCTTCTTACCTGACACACACAGTGGACTGTAAACATAATAAGGCATAATACTCATTATACTTCAATGCAATCATTTGCATCCATTTGACCAGCCAAAACCAGGTGGCCCGCAGTTATGAGCTCAGCTTCATTTTGGAGACACTGAATCACTGAAAAAGTGTAGACAGATTGAAATGCACAGGCTAAATGGCCAAATCATAAGAATTCTTGTTCAATAATGATAAAAACTTACAGCTTATCATTATGTTGGTATAGGTTTTAGGTTCAACATTCCAACTAGAGGTAGGTAGGTGTTCTACTGTTAAACATCAGAGATATTATTGTCCTCAATCAAAACACAATGAACCACTGGAAAACACGGATTTAAAAAATACACAAATATCAAAGCTGAGAATGATTGAGAACTCAAAACGAAATTAACATAAACACCATCACCAAAACCAAACAATGTAAAATGTAAACAATCAAATAGTACTGGCATTCGCCGTTCTGGCTCTGGCGCTACGATCTCTCTTTCGTTTGACATGGCGGTATTTTCAAATCATCCCACCCGATTTATAAAATAACTTAATCTGAACAATCTATATAACCTCTATGTATTACGTTGAAGTTATGAAAATTATGAAATTGAAAATATTCTATCAGCCTGAATCAATATGATCATACCTATATTTCTTATTAAAAGTTTAACGCATATTATGAGAATAGAACCATAACTAAGTGTGGAATTCAGGAATTCTGAGAGTGGAGAACGTTCAGATATGACACACTAAAAGTCATTATGATTAATACTCATTATAATATACCAAATATCATTATTGCTTATTTGTATTATTACGATGTCTTTAAGACGTATTCAAGACGTGAGAATCAGATATCTTCAAAACGTCTGAATGATGACATCTTGTAGACGTCTTATTCAGGGAGTAAGACGTACAGACTAAGATAGGATATAATTCAGACATCTTAAAGACGTCTTGTGCTATCTGGGATATGTCCATTTCAAAACACACAATTCCTGCGCCATTTGAAATTTCATCAATTCATTGGTGTGACTGGTGCGACGTCTTAGTCCCAACACGCCTATTGTCCTTGAACTGACCAATTACACTGCAACACTGCAGAATGACGAGGTATCAGAGAGAGATAGCTACAGTTCGGGACTAATACGTCACGACTCCACCATCATATTTGGCTGTTTGAAATATCGAATGAAATATGCTGATTTCAAAACGATATAGGTAGATTCGATTCCCTTCAACTTCAACTTATAATATTGATTGTACATAAAATGTAAATCATGATTCGTCGATTGAAAGAGGTTTGCACGGATTTCTTCCCTCAGTGGTCTTCCCCATTGAAGAAATATTTCTTCAAATTTTTCCATGGAGAGGTCAAAACCAATATCAACACTTATTGATTAACAAAACACTAAACTTGGGTACCTGATAGCAACAAATAAATAGTAATAAAAAGTTCATAATGTAGAATAAGCACCTGATTGAATATTTACTAGAATAATTGAATTCCGGAATTATTCAGTAACTTATTCATTGACATGTTCAAATTGATATCCATTTTTCCTAACATACAGTTAACAAACTTTCTTAATACTTCTTAATACAGTGAGTGGCCCAACATACTTGAAGAACTTTGTGCAACAACAGAGGCAGTTTTCCAGGAATTACAAAGACATCTTTCAATGATTAATATGTATTGAGAAAGTTTGAGATCGAAAATTGACATCAATTTGAACAATTCAATGAATAAATCACTGAATAATTTCGAAATCCAATTGTATTAGTAAATATTCAATCAGGTGCTTATTCTACATTATAAACTTTTTATTACTATATATGTATTTGTGGATATCAGGTATCTAAGTCTTGTGTATTGCAAGTTAATTAGTGTTGAAATTGTTTTTCCCCCTCATGGAACAATCAAAGGAAATATTCCTTCAATTGTCAATTTCTTTATATGAAAATCCCTCGAAAAACCCATAGCCCACTATTAAAATTCAATGTTTTAGTGATTTTTGAACATTTTTGAAGATGTTATATTCATACATCATATATCATTTCGAAGGGAAACAAATAAGGAATTTAATGAGCTCATGAAATACAGGGTGTTCAATTTAAAAAATCATAAGTTTGAGTCGTATCTTCAAAACCACACCCCGAAAAAAAATTTTTGTGCGCCACTGGAATCTGCATGAAATTCTCTATGGGTTAATATTTTAATTTGACATTTTCGCTGATAAACTTCGTAGATATAGAGGGGGTCCAAAAAGTATAAATTTTCAAAATCGCC